ACAAGAGGCTGAAGCTATTTTAAATATACTGGTTACGGAAGGACTCTCTGATGATGTGACCTCAGAGCAGAAACATAAATGAAGTGAGGGAGCCAGTAATTTTATTTGTAAATAATTGTTTCAGGCTGAGAGAGGAGCAAACACAAAGTTACTGTGTCAGAGACTTGCTTAGTGTGTTTCAAATACAGCATAGAGGCCAGTGTTTCTGGAGTGTGGTAATTCATTGAAAGAGTTGTAGAAGGCAGAGTAGTCATGGACCTGATAATGTAGGATTTTGTAGGCTATGGTAAGGAGAACTTTGGATTTTAAATATACTGGCAACTACTCATTTTCTCATTAGATATTTGTTGGATGTCTTCTGTATGTCAGATAGTTTTGCATGTTGAGGATAGTGTGGTTAATAAAACTGTTAAAAAATCCAAGACTTTGTAGAGCTTAGAAGTGTTAGTGATAAGTGTAGTTGTTTATGTAATATGGAGGTCGTCAGAAGTGGTAGTTTAGAATATTCAGTTGGGAAACCTTGTTATATAATATGATTATATATCTAGATAATTTAAATAATTGGGAGAAATGTACTTACATTTTAGGCTGAAAGTATACTGAACATAATTTAATCTTTTTTATTTATAGGAGACATAGCTGTTCTCATTAGTTTCTTTTGATTGCAAAGTAAACTTATTTAGGCTGGGTTTTGTTTGTTTGTTTGTTTGTTTTTATAACCATACACTTGGAAATGAGTACAAAAGGACTTCATGGAAATCCCAGAATAAGAGCTATGATGTGTCCGGGCCTTTCATAGACTAGAGCTTAAAAGTCTTCATATCCAAATGTATTCATTATTTATTACTGTGTAATATATTACCCCCAAATTTAGTGGCTTAAATTACATGTTATTTCATAGTTTCTGTGGGTCAAGAATCTAGGCATGTAAGCTTAGCTGGGTGCCTCTTGCTCAAGGTCTCTCATAAGGCTGTTGTTAACTAAGGTGTTGGCTAGAGCAACAGTTATTTCAAGGCATTACTGTGAAGGATCTGTTTCTCAGATCACTCACATAGCTGCTGGTAGGCCTCAGATACTTTGCTGTATGTTGGTTGGTGACATCATTTCTTTACCATGTGGGTCTTTCCTGCTCACAACATGGCAGTTGGCTTCCCTTAATAAGAGAGGGTGGCCAGATGGAAGCCACAGCCAATCTAATCTCAGAAGTCATCTCATCACCTCTGCTACATTTTTATTAGAAGCGAGTCAGTAAATCCATTCCTTAATCTAGTAAAGGATTATACACGGGCATGAATACTAAAAGGGTGGGGATTATTAAGGTCATTTTGGACGCTGCCTGTCATATCAGTAAGCCCTAGAGATCTCACCAGAGATTTTGTATATATGTTTTATTCTAGTTCTCTACCATAAATGGGCCTTAGCCACTTTTAGTCTTTGCATTTTTCCCTTTCTCTTTTTGCTATGAATTGTATTTATTAACTACTAATCTGCATATTTGGTTTTTTTGTTGTTGTTGTTTTGAAACAGAGTCTTACTCTGTCACTCAAGCTGGAGTGCAGTGGCATGATCATTTTTTTGGTAGAGACTGGATTTCACCATGTTGCCCAGGCTGGTCTCAAACTCCTGGGCGCAAATTATCCACCTGCTTTAGCCTCTCAAAGTGCTGGGATTATAGGTATGAGCCACTGTGCCCAGCCATGTGTATCTTTTTTTTTTTTTTTTTGAGACAATGTCATGCTCCATTGCCCAGGCTGGAGGGCAGTGTTGCAATCACAGTTCATTGCAGCTTCAACATCCAGGCTCAAGTGATTTTCCTGCCTCAGCCTCTCAAGTAGCCAGGACAGCTGGCACATGTCACCATGCGTAGCAAATGTTTTACTATTTGTAGAGAAGTGGTTTCCCTATGTTGCCCAGCCTGGTCTCAAACTCCTGGGCTCAAGCAGTCCTTCCACCTCAACTTTCCGAAGTGCTTGGATTACAGGTATGAGCCACTGCACCTGGCCTCTTTTCTCTACTTGTTATATTTATCTTTCCCGTACCTTTATCCCAGGACTAAGATGAGCTCTCCTGCCTTGTGATATTTCACCTTCTGCCCCTGCTGCTAGCTAGTTTGATTATATTCATAGTACTCTGTTCAAACTTTTGAGAGGGATGGGTGTATGTTATGGAAGATAAAATTTAGTATCTTTTGAATACTGCTGTAACATTAACAAGAACTGTGATTAAAGCAGTTTCTCAAACAAAAATGTAGACACTAAATGTTATTTTGAGTGTTTATTGATTAAAAGATACAGGTCTTTGAGTTGGTCAAGTAGCAACTTGAATCTTGGAAGAAATTTCCTAATGCTAGCTAGTTTCAGAATTGATTTTCTGTTTTCATAAAAGAAGAGTATAAACTGAAAAAGAAATCCTTTTTTTTTTTTTTTTTTTTTGCGTTTAGGATAAATAGAAATCTATTTGCTTATTTTTGAGGCATTATATAAAAGTGTATAAATTTTGAGACATACAGAATTTGTTGGAAACATATAGAAATCTACATGTTTTTGAGACATTATGCAATAAAGTATATACACAAAAAGGCAAACATCTATAATTTTTTCTTTTTCTTTTAAGACGGGGTTTCACCATGTTGGTCAGGCTGGTCTTGAACTCCCGACCTCAGGTGATCCGCCCACCTTGGCCTCCAAAGTACTTGGATTACAGGCATGAACCACCATGCCCGGCCAATTTTTTCAACCAGTATTAACAACCATTAACATTTATTCATTTTGCATTTAGTCTTTTCCCCTCAAGTAATAAGATTTTGTAGTTAAAATGCAAATCCCCTTAAACCATCACTTTTAGTTCTGTTTCGTGGAACTTACTTGATGCAACTACTGTTACAAGTTTGGTAGGTATTTTTCTGGTTCACTTTTTATTCTTGCAAATAGACACATATGTATACATATATATGGTGTGGTTTTGTGTTAGTATTATATTTATATGGTATATATTTATATGGTACTATACTATATACATTTTACAGTGTTCTTTTTTTCTTTTTAACTTGATATTATTTTAAAGGTCTTTCCATATTGATACTTTTTCATTCTTTTTGAACTGCAACATAGTATTCCATCACATTTTATTAATTTTATTATCTATTTTGTTATTGTTAGATGTCTAGATTGTTTTGAAAGGATGTTTTGCTGTTAGAAACATTATCCTTTGGTACCTGTGACAAACACATTTTCTACATTGTGGTCCAATTACTGAACCAATTTATGATCCCAATAGATATGAGAAATCTTACTTACTCACATCTCATGTATGTGATGTTTTCAGACTAAAAACATTTTTATCAATTTGGTAATCGGAGACGGGGCTCTTGCTTTTTAATCTATATTCCCCTCATTACTATTATGATTAAGTTTGTGTTTAATGACCATTTGGATGTCATCATGTGAAATGCCTGACTGCTCTATCTTTTGCTCATTTGTAGGAATTCCTCCTGCAATCGTGATACTAATATTTGTCTGAAATATATGTTGCAAATATTTTCTCTTAGTCTCTGATTTGCTTGTAACTCTTTTTTATTATTACATAGAAATTGTTGTGCTTTTATTTTCTTCTTGATCATTTTTGTTAGACCTCGTAAAGAATCAGCTTTTGGTTTGTGTCTTTAAGTAGGAATAAAGGAAGTAGAGTTATAACTAGCACCTGGGGACATACACTATGAGAGTGTGTCTGTTTAAATGACTATCAACTATTATGTGTTGAAACATTGCATATCAAGGCTACAAAATACTAGATATTTTTAAAAAGTTATAATTGGTAATGATGTAAAATTATTTTACTAACTATTCAAACTTCATAATTTTTAATGGTACTGGATTGCCTTTTGCTGTGAATCATTATATAGTTTTAATACTTTTGATAATATGCAGTGAAATTTGTTTAATATGGGATTTATCTTTAGCGGTTTTCTGGCACTGTCTCCACTATTTTCTAGGCAGGAATAATGCCTTCTGATGCATATCCATTCCTGAAAACGGTAAATTTGCAGATATATTTTCAGGAGACATTGCATATTAGGCAAGTTTTTACTGTCACATATTTTTAACAGCTGTGAAGTTATATGTTTTTGTTTTTAGTTCTGTTCAGGCAGATCTTCTTTTTTTTTTTTTTTTTTTTTTTTTTGGGGGGACAGAGTCTCACTCTGTTGCCCAGGCTGGAGTGCATTGGCACGGTCTCTGCTCATTGCAACCTCTGCCTCCTGGGTTCAGGTGATTCTCCTGCCTCAGCTTCCCAAGTAGCTGGGATTACACTCCCCAACCATCACGCCCGGCTAATTTTTAATTGTTTAGTAGAGACAAGGTTTCACCATGTTGGCCAGGCTGATCTCGAACTCCTGACCTCAGGTGATCCACCCACCTTAGTATCCCAAAGTAAGTACTGGGATATCCCAAAGTAAGTACAGGCCTGCGCCACCATGTATGGCCTCACTTAGGTTTTCTTACACATTATTTATTATATTTTAGTTCTTGTTATTAATACTGTTCAGGTAGTGAAGATTAAATTCAGTAATAGAAATTTAAAGCAATTTATTATATTTTATAAAGATAAATAAGCCTTATTTTTGGCTGAAAGTATGTAATTGAGTCACATTTTAAATTGTTATTACCAGAATCTAGTAACAATTAAATGTTATTGGAATTTTTTTCTTTTGACTGTCACTAAATGTCAAAAAATGGAATTCTGAGATGTAATTACATCCACAAATATTTTGAACACCCATTGTGTACTAGCAATATGTAACTTTAATCGGAGTTTTGGCTATTAGGCCCCCTGTCAGAGTGAAGGATAGCTTAATCTTGTTGAAGTAATGTTGGGAGTTTGCAGATGAAGGAATTTTGTTTCTTTCATGTTTTAATCAGAAGCATCAAAAATGTTGCCGTAAGAAATGTATAAGCATAAAATTTTTTCAAGATATTTAACCATTTACTTTTACATTATTTTAGGTTTCCAATAATTATCTACAGGAATCGCCATGACCCCAGCTCTGAGGGAGGCAACAGAAAAGGGTATCAACTTTTCATGTTTGCCAAGTACCATGGAATCTGACAAGATGCTCTGCGTGGAAAGTCCGAGAACTGTAGATGAAAAGCTGAAGGGAGACACTTTTTCTCAGATGCTTGGATTTCCGACTCCCGAACATACTCTTAATACTAATTTTGTGAATTTAAAACATTTTGGCTCCCCTCAGTCTTCAAAACATTACCAGACCGTTTTTTTAATGAGTTCTAATTCTACATTAAATAAATATAATGAGAATTATAAACAAAAGAAATTAGGGGAGCCCAGTTGCAATAAGCTGAAAAACATACTATATAATGGCAGCAACATTCAGCTCAGTAAAATCTGTCTTTCTCATTCTGAAGAGTTCATCAAAAAGGAACCTCTATCAGATACCACAGGCCAGTGCATGAAAGATGTACAAATTATTTTGGATTCAAATATAACCAAAGACACTAATGTAGATAAAGTACAACTGCAAAACTATAAATGGTTTCAAGAGAATGCACTTTTGGATAAAGTTACTGATGCTGAGATTAGAAAGAGTTTATTGCACTGTTCTCAAAAGAAAATTGTACCTGGCCACTCAAATGTGCCTATTAGTTCTTCAGCTGCTGAAAAAGAGGAGGAAGTAAATGCTCGTTTACTTCATTGTGTAAGCAAACAGAAAATTTTACTTAGCCAGGCTAGAAGAACTCAGAAGCATTTGCAGATGCTCCTGGCAAGGCATGTTGTTAAGCACTATGGTCAGCAGATGAAATTTTCTATGAAACATCAACTCCCCAAAGTGAAGACCTTTCATGAACCTACCACAGTTTTGGGTAACAGTTTACCTAAATGCACTGAAATTAAGCCAGAAGTTACATTGACTGCAGAGAATAAATTGTGGGATGATACAAAAAATGGCTTTGCACAGTGTACAGCTGCAGAAATCCAAAGATTTGCATTGTCTGCGACAGGGCTGTTGTCTCATGTTGAAGAGGGTTTGGATTCCGATGCAACTGATAGCAGCTCTGATGACGATTTGGATGAATATACCATTAGAAAAAATGTGGCAGTGTAAGTGCAAAATTATTATTAGACTATTTTCTGTTCCGTATATAGTAGAAGTTATCTTAGTTTCCAGGTATGTTGACAAGAAATAGATTTTCTAAAATCTTAATGCCATGATTTTTTTTTTTTTTTTTTTTTTGAGACAGGATCTTGCTTTGTTGCCCAGGCTGGAATGCAGTGGCATGATCTTGGCTCACTACAACCTCTGCCTCCTGGGTTCAAGCAGTTCTCCTACCTAGCCTTCTGAGTGCCTGGGATTATAGGCGTGTGCTACCATGCCTGACTAATTTTTGTGTTTTTAGTGGAGACAGGGTTTCACCATGTTGGTCAGGCTGGTTTCGAACTCCTGACCTTGTGATCCACCCACCTTGGCCTCCCAAAGTTCTGGGATTACAGATGTGAGCTACCGTGCCTGGCTGCCATAATCTTTTATGTTATAAAACTTTTGGTGAAGTTTAAAAAAAATTTTTTTTAACTATTGCTTGTCAGTATATATATACTATTTAAAAATAGACTTACTCAACTATTCTATCTAGGAAAAACTCATACAGGAATAATAACATTAATGAGCTATAAATAAACATTTTTTTATTCTTGAATAGACTAGGCTGTAGAAAAGGCTAAATCTTTGCTTAAGTGATCTAGCTAATATGTGTAGCTAACTAACTAATTTAGCTAACTAAATTTAGTCTGCACATAGAGAACCCTCATTGTGTTTGGGAGTGTATCAGTTGAGAGTACATGTATGTTGACCTACTTTTTTTCCTTAACTATCTACTCATAGTTGTATTCATAGCTTTCATCACTGGCCTTTACCAACTCAGTCAGTTTTGGCTAGCTTAGTATAACTAAAACAAAACTATAATGTCAGCTGTAAGATATCTATTGAATGCTTATTATGTGCTAGACATTAAGATTCAGTGTGAGCAATGTAGTCACAACCTCTGCCTTTTTGGGCATGTACTTGAGAGAGAGGTATCTAGATATCAAAAAAATAAGAAACAGATAAAAATAGTTTTAATTATCACACTGTGATAACACTACAGACCCGCTCTGTCCAATAAAAATTTCTGAGATGATGGAAATCTTTTATATCTATGCTATCCAATAGGCGCTAGCTTTAATTGGATTGAGGTTTGGACAGTGATGCTGAGGAAATGAATTTTTAATTTTATTTAATTGACCTGATTTTAATTGAAATGGTCAAATAAAGCATAATTTTTAAGCTAGCTGTCAGGGAATCTGTTATTGTCCAAAACTGATGTGAATTACTGTTTGTATATATGGGATTTTGGGAGAAAGAAGTCTATCACACATGGATACATACAGGGGAACAACACTCACTGGGGCTTTTTAAAGGATGGCGTGTGGGAAGAGAGAGAGGGTCAGGAAAAATAACTAATGGATACTAGGCTTAAAACCTGGGTGATAAAATAATCTGTATAACAAACCCGTATGACACACATTTATCTATGTAACAAACCTGCACTTGTACCCCTAAACTTAAAATAAAAGTTAAAAAAAAACTTTTTAAAATTCTCAAAAATAAATGAGACTTACAGAATTAGAAGCCAAACACATTAATGTTTACTAACAAATAGAAGATCAGTATATTAGTTTTTATAGTGAGAAATAAAACATTAAGCAAAGTGAGCTTTCTAGTCATTTAGTATTCTGATATCACTGTAATTGAAATTTGTTTGCATGTGGAATGTATAGTAGTTAATGAGCACAGATTATTTTTCTGGCTGGCATTGTCCTAGTTACTTAACATATGATAATGTCATTTAATTCTTTCAACAACCCTAGCAGGTAGTTGTTATCCTTACTTCACTTAAGAAACAGACTCAGCATGGGTTAAGTAACTTACCCATGGCTAACAAGCCAAGTAAGTGGCAGACACAGGATTTTGCTCATATATACAATTCTAAACACATGCTTATTCTCTTGTAACATGCTATTTTCTCAACATTGCATCACTGATACTTATAGCTACAAGAATTATTAGATATATGTGTTTTGAAAGAACTCTGAAAATTTACCAATTTTTGTATATACAATACTTAGGAAGTATTTTTAAAAAATTTAGTAGGCACATTTAGTAAATTAAGTATGTTTTTGTTGTTGAGAAGAGCTAATGGAAAGATTTGTCTTTTTTTAAACTAGAAGCAGGAATAAGAAACTTTTGCGCTGGAAGTAGTGGCTCATGCCTGTAATCCCAGCACTTTGGGAGGCCCAGGCGGGCAGATCACTTGAGCCCATTAGTTGGAGACCAGCCTGGGCAACATGGCAAAACCCCATCTATACAAAAAATATAAGACAAAACTTAGTCAAGCATGGTGGTGTGCACCTGTAGTCCCAGCTACCTGGGAGGCTGAGGCAGGAGAATCGCTTGAACCTAGGAGGAGGAAGTTGTAGTGAGCCAGGTTGCGCCCTTGCATGCCAGTGTGTGTGATGAGGGTAAAACTCATATCAAAAAAAGAAAGAAAATTTTGTCATTTCAGACCATTTTGAACTATAATGTTATTTTCATTAGTAGTCTCTTCACTGATTTCCTATAGTACTTAGTCTGCCATGCAATTTATCATTAAATTGTGTTTTGTCCTATACAGTACTAATATATCTGTTATCTGTTAGTCTTAACCAACTCCTATTAAGAGTAAACACCACACTTTTTTACTTTGTGGTAATTTTTTTTTTCGAGACGGAGTTTTGCTTTTGTTGCCCAGGCTGGAGTGCAGTGGTGCTATCTCGGCTTACCGCAGTCTCTGCCTCCCGGATTCAAGTGATTCACCTGCCTCTTCCTCTTGAGTAGCTGGGATTACAGGCATGTGCCACCATGCCCGGCTAATTTTGTAATTTTAGTGGAGACAGGATTTCTCTGTGTTGGTCAGGCTGGTCTTGAACTCCCAGCCTCAGGTGATCTGCCCGCCTTGGCCTCTCAAAGTGCTGGGATTATAGGCGTGAGCCACCATGCCTGGCCACCTTTCTGATAATATCTTTCTTTTTCCCATAATCAGCTAGAGAGGATTCAGGGACTCTAGATGTAAATTTTAAGAAAAAATAAATCTAAGAAATTTAGTATCAGTTCATTAAGGTAGGCTTCTGGCCTCTTACATTATTGACCTTTTAATATTAGGATTGATGCCTTGGTTATTAAATACCCACCTGAATTTTTAGAGGTCAAATAAAGTTTAAGGTTAAACTCATCTGTTCTGTACAAATCAATAATACTAAATTTAAGTGACAGCTCTTTATATTCTTTGTTTCAACGAATTATTCGATAATTGTTTTGTTTTTGTTTTTTGGGTTTTCCTTAATACTTAAAATCTATTCAGCATTTCTTAATTTCATACATCTTCCCAAACATTAAATGTAAAATTTTGTTTTGAATATTTTTGTTAATACTAATAGATTTTTTTGTGGGAAAGAATGTACTCAACATTATATTAATTTTGAAGTTGACTAAATATTGAGAACAAATAACAACTTTAGTCGTATCTCTTGGTGTGATGAAAAGTTTCTGTTTTTTAAAGTTGGAATTAATCAGTTCTATCCTAGGTCATCAAATTCATTTTTAAAATAGTCTTATAAGTTTAAGTTTATTTTTGTTATTTTCTTCTCTACATCTGTGGAAAGATTTTTCAAATCTAGATGAGTATTTTTAACATATAAAGTTCAGAATTAAACCTTAAATGTAAAATAGCAAATAAACAGATGCATTTTATGGTTCTAAATTTTTAAGTGAGTGCTAATATGAATTTTAATTGTCTTTATTGAATATGTTGATTTCTCAGCTTAAATCATAGGTCCAGAGTGGTAAATACTAAAGTTGACTTCAACTTAATTTTAAGCAACTTGAGTGTTAGTACTACTCTTTTATCATATAGCCTGGCATTGTCTTCTGTTTAATGATTGCTTGGTATTTTTTGAGTGAATGAATGACTGTTTCTGTTTTTTTGTATATGTAGTTGTAAATACATAAGCATTGAGGCTCGCAATCTGAAATTTCTCTCTTCTATATTTGGTTCTTAAAAATTTCATTGTCGAGTTGCATTGTTTTACTTAATGTTTTTTCTGTTCCTTCCTTGGTTTCTAATATTAAACTGGCCACAAGATGTACCTTGTACATCATAGACCACCCCCATGAATGTTCGATGACTGAATAAATGAAATATACCAAAATATGGACATTTAAAATTAACAATTTTATTACAATATAATGTTTACAATTTTTAAAGTTGATAAGTAAAATGCATTATATTTACTTTAAAAATTTTAGATTTTAGAGGAACGGGGGTGGGAAAAACATTTTTAGATTTTATTATTATTATATGCTTTCTATTTTTCTTTGAGTTAATAGCCCTGATAGGAAAAACAAATTTTGCTTTGATCAGCAAGTTAACTGGGAAGGAATATAGTTGTTTTAGAAAATTGGAAAGTACTCACATTAGTCACTACAATTACTATTGTTGTTTTAAATATATATTTGTCTTGACTCTTTTACTTTTCCTGCAAAAATATAGGCAATAAATTAGTTCATAATGATATTACTAATTGACTTTAATTCATAATATTACTGATTTAATAATAACTTTTGGTTGAGAGGCTAGTATGCATTCAAAGTAAAAAATAAAAGTCACTTTTCCTTTGGAATGCATAAAAGGGGGATTTTATGTTTTTTTGTAGGTTTCAGATATAGTTCTACTGTAAGATGGGTGGATTTTTCTTCCAGTGTTCTTTTTATTTGGTGAGGGAGCCCAGTCAGGTCCGTGAGCACTGAACTGGTTAAATGTGAGGTTATGTGGGTGGGTCACTGATAAAAATTGGCTACAACTATGTTATTTCTCATCTGGTAGAAGAGCCATAAAATTCTAGCATTTCTTTTCTTTTTTTCCTGGGGAATGATGATAAGTTACGTTTTTTTAGGCTGCATTTTGGAGAAAAACAGATTTTGACACAGGCATGTTTTAATTCTCTAAGGTTGTAGAAAAGGAATAAATATG